TTGTAAACTATTTGGTATTTTAGATAATAGGCTGCTCTAAAGAGCACTTTTATTTGGTTGTGTTTAATGCTTGCACTCATTTACAAAAACATTTTTCTTCCACAGAGACTCACAGCTAGTACAACATCCAGACAGCGAAGCAGGCTTTCTATAATGTCTCAGTACCTATGCACTGTTAACAAAGGTTTCACAATTCCAGGTCAAGCTTTTGTTCCAAAGCCAGAGGTCAGTCTGTTCATTCTTTTTGCATTAAAATCAGTGTTTGAAGCTTCATTCAGCTATTCACAAAGCTATTAGCATGGAGACTCAGACATATTCTATTTTCACCAAATATTCATGAAGGTTGTTGGATTAGCTCCAAAAATACTAAAAAATAAATGTAGTAATAAGAAGGCATTTATAATGGGGGGAGGGGATAAATTGTTAGTGAAGACAAGAGAGAAAGATTTAAAGGCAGTGTTCAAAAGGAAGGCAAATCAATAAAAGAGAAAAAGTAACAGGTGAGAAAATGTTAAGATAAATTCCAAGTACCCCAAAGATGTGTCAAAATTCTTAAGAGGTCTTGAGTAGTAGAAAGCCCTGTAGGGCTATCTCAAAGGAGCATCAAACTTAGTTAAATTATTTGTAGGATCTGTAGGAAATCACACATTCATGGCAACAATAAAGGTTGACATACCTCTGGGAAATTGCTATTTTGGTTTGGTGTGTCACTTTGTGGAGACAAGATTTCCTTAGAGGTGACTGCGTCCTGATTTTGAGAATAACAACTCAAGTAAAATGTTAACTCCAAAAAGAAATGTTTTCTAAGGTTTTCCCGAACCAGTTCCAAAACCCAGTCCTATTATATTTCCTCTAATATCCAAAATAGAGATAGTGATTATTTGTCTGTAATGTTACATATGTCTCCTCTTTATTGTTGCCTTATTGCAATTTAGAAATTGCTGATGATAATTGTGTTCCTCTTTTGTATAAGTCATAATTTGTTTATGCCGTGGTTTATTGAATAAATGCATACTATAGTAGCTAGGTTTTCATCTCACATTAAGGCAAAATGAAATAAATGGACTCAATGGGAGTACTTTCCCAGAACTTGGAGCTGCCCTTAATAAGCATTCAGAAGCTACAGCTGGTGGACTAGGCACTGATGTATGTATTTCAGTATCTTCAGGTGAATCCACTGGTTTGGTGGCTGCATTGGTTGCTAGACAGTTTCCAAGTATGAGTCTTGCTGCTGATTGTCACTGTTAAGGCCCAATGTAACTCAAGACTTGGTTATCTAAGTGTCTGCCCCAGTGGTGGTATTCAGCCGGTTCTATCCGGTTGGGGAGAACCGGTAGCGGCGGCTGAGGGAGGCTCTGCCCGGATATCATCAGTCCTATATTTGACGGTCTGTGCATGTGCAGAAGGTGCACGCACTCCCATTTGCGAACCGGTAGCGAAGGTAAGTGAATACCACCCCTGGTCTGCCCATCCAACTAGATCAAATAAAGTTAACTCCTTCCAGGTCCTATCTCTGCGAGATGGGCATGTGGTCTGCCCTCCAAAATGGGTATTTTTGGTAGTTACTCCTATTCTATGGAACTTCCTCCTTCCACAAATTTGGCCAGCATTGTTCTGTCTTGGTTTTAGGCAAGGTGTAAAGGCTTACCTATTCCTCTTTTCACAGGAGAAGGGTATGCTATGCTTGGAGGTGCGATTTGCAGGCACATAACTTGTATATCTCTTAATTTCATTTTTTTACTTTGTCATTCTTTCTCTTGTCTGTCTATGAAATCTTGAAGAAATATTATATGTTGAATTGTTAGCATCCTAAAACCTTTGTGAAGAGATGGCATACAAATAAATAGCCTTGAAAGTGGCTAGTACCTTAAAAGTATACAGTACAAAAGTACTGTGTACTTTTGGAATAAATTGGGCAGATATCAGAATTGTCAAATTCCTTGGCAACAATATGGAAATGGCCTGTCATTGCCTTATTTCAGGGTATTTCTTCAACCTTCTGCAGCTAATTTCCCAAATGTTTCCCAATTTTCCCAATATTAACAAGGTCTGGACCCACTATGGTGTTTAGATCGAGATTGGTTAAATCCTGCAATCTTGTTGCTCAGTAGAGGATTAGAATAGCAGATGGCACTGAGCTGAATGGTGAGATGGCATACTGATGTCTTGACAGTGTCTTTCATCATTGGTGATGTTGAGTAGTCTGGTGAGAACTTTAACAACATCTGGGGAACCACAGATTCCTGATCCTATATTTGAATGTCTCTTGTAAGAAACATTCTGGCTTTCATGTGTTCCAAGCCAATGATTGATTGTTAACTTTCATCTGTAAGGCAGGAGAAAATGGAATAGACTAGGCCTGAAATTAATTATCCTGGTATATTGATTGGTGTTCTTCATTTGGGTTGGGAATGGATACCAATTTTTGCCAATTGCTTTTCTTAAGGAGATTACAGTGCTAGTGCCAAACTCCCCTTATGATTACTGATATAAAACCTCCCTTTTTACGATCTTGTAGTCCCTATAAGTACTATTATCTGTTCTGTTTTTTAATGCTCTTTTCATGTTAAATTGGTGGTGGTGATAATACACGGTATGTCTGCAGAGAGAGTACTCTTTTTTCTTAAGAACTGTTACTCTTCTCTATTTCTATGCAAGCAGTATTTATTTTGTTTTGATCTTGCTTGTGTCTTTTTTCTTGGAATTTGTTTGAGTTTGACAGAATACTTTAACTGTTTTTTGTCAGAGAATTAGATTGCATGGTATTATGGCAGTGCAAGCTTGCCAGCTGTGTTAAAATATTTGAACAGGGTTCTTAATAAGTTTTTTTTAAAACATGGGCAATGGTATTTCCAGAAATAAAATGGCTGGCACACAAAATATAACTAGATTATTAATCTATATTTGTTAAGATGCTTGCTATGAATTCCTAGTTTCCCAAATGCAGCATATTCATTTTTGAGCTGTTTGCAAGCATTTTCATAAGAAAATGATTTCCTTATAGAAGAAAATGATGATATTCATTGGCTATCATGTACTGTGACGGGAGTGTTTTGTTCTATGAGAAAATTTCTTAATTTAAAAAACAAACCACCATGATTCTGGTTTTTGATAGGGGAAAAAAACTACATCTCAGTTTTTATCATATTATGTATAATTTTAGAAACCTGTACACATCCTTTTATTTTTCTAACTAAAAATTCATGCTGTAATTCTTATGTAAGAAACAAAAAACTAATCTTTTGGTGGAGTGATTTAATGTTGCTGACATTAGAAAATATGAATTATAGAAATCTACAGGTATCTCAAAATGTATTTCAAGCTTTTGATCCAAACTTTACTCTTTATATTATGTTATATGCCAACATGTTCAAATTTAATCTCTCCTCTTGAATGGAAATGAGTAGTTACTTTGTAATCAATCTTCATTTTTGTAGATGGACACAAGAAAAAGATTCAAAGAAGCAAGACTAATGCTGACAAAATAATTATAAAATAATTTACTATTGCCTGCTAAATCTCTGAATGGCAAATAGCCAAAATCTTTGGATTCTGATTAAAGATTGCTTTGTAAATAGTTTGAATAAAGTATAGGTAATAGCTAGATGACATACATCTTTAAATACTACTGAAGTATTTACTAATTACAACTGAAAGAGTTTACTTAATTATGTTAAGTTGTATGTTATTTAAGACTGGTAGAAATCAAGCTTGGGGAAAAAAGATTTTTTAAAAATGTCCTGAAAATATAAATAGGTACGTCTTGTAGTTCTGTTGTGTTTGACACTTAAAATTAATGGCAAAATATTTAAGTAAACATTTTCCAAAGAAAGCAGAATGAATGCAGGTTATTGTGGGGCATGGAGTCTGAGGACAGCTAATCCTCAAATATGATGGGATAACTGTTACTCTTTCAAAGAAATCTGGAGATATACCATTTATCATACTCGTTGAAAACTGACATTGAGAAATGCAGCTAACATTTAAAAACAACACACACAAATCCCCAGTAAGGCAGAATCAGTTCAGCTGATTCTTATTCAAGAAAGTCTTATTCAAATAAGACACTTGGTGATGCTAAATGTGGCATGTGACAGATAGGAACTATTGTAACTGATTTATATTTATACCCCACCCCCTATTCTCAGTATAATCCAGTTGCAAATCAGTCTCAGTAATAAATGCTTGGTTAGTTATTTTAAATTCTTAGCATCTTTTTCTTTTTTTAATAAATAAACACCTCCCCCAATGCAATTATAAGGCTTGCATCAACCACATTGTTATAAAATCAAGACTACATAAACAACCTTGATAGAAAGGTCCACCACCGTATTTACACATAGTCCTTCAGGCTGTAGCCTGTGTCCACTTGCCGAGCAGCTGGATGCAAGTTCTGCTGCTTGTTATGATAAATCCCTGCTCTCTGCTGTTTCTTAAAACAGGAAGTGCCAAAGATGGCACCTGCAGCAAGCAGAAGTCCAGCCGAAATAAATCCAACGTAAACTGCTCCTCCTGGTTCATGCTTACTGCTTTCTGGAATAGTTGGGTCCAGAAATTTTGAAATAATCTCTTTTGTGTACCAGGCTGTTGGTATCAAGCCAGATATTCCTGCCAAAATAAAGAAGACTCCACCGGCAACTGACGTGTGGGTTTTGGTCTCTCTGTCCCCTCCCAGGAGGGTGCACTTCATCCCCACTATGGCGATGCAGATCCCAAAAATGGAGAGGATGCAGGACAGAATCATGGTGGTCCTTGCTGCCTGGATGTAAACAGGGAGAGACAAGATTGAATATTTCAGCGTGCAGCTGAACATCCCGGTGCTGTACCATGTGCAGTCCATCCAGAGCCCTTGCATCTGAGTGATGGCCGTGATTATGTTTGAGCCCGTGTCTGCATTCACCTTCCAGTTGGGCAACAGGGTGGCTGCGATCGCGCCAAAAACACCAAACAAGGCTAGGACGAAAGCAAAAAACTGGAGAGCGGCCGATGCCATGATGAGATTTGCCGTCACCTTTTGTCTGCTTGTTTCTTTTCTGTTGCTGTAAACCTGTGTTACTGTCTGGTGGCTCCCCAGCCAAGGCTGTAATTGTCTGTATGTGATAGGAGGAGGAGGGGAGAGAGTGGCAAGGGCAAAGGCAGGAGAAATGAGCAAACAAGGGTGCTTGCATTTGAAATAACGGCTAACTGAATGGCTTGCTAAACGTGACCCTGCAGCAGATGAGAAGGCTACAAAAGGACTGAGCAGATGTACACCGGGCACTTGGAGAGGCGTGATTATAAATGAGTAGTGCGTGAGAGCAACTGAGCACAAGGAGGTGCTGATAATCAGCCACAGTGGCAGAAACTGCAAATGAAATGGTAAGATGTAAAAATGAGGTATGTCCTGTGCCAAAAAAAAAATATCAAGGAAAGACTTGTACCCTTATTGGCCAGCTTAGAAGCTTCCAATCCGTTTTGTAATACAGTATGAGGAAGTTTTTAAAAAATGTAATTCTAGCCCTATAAGCAGTATTAGGTCTTGGATTTGAATTGAAATCTACATCGATATAGCTTCTCAATTTTTACAAGGAATATTCAGGCTGGAGTTCAAATAGTCTTTTCCTACTTCCATTATTTTAGTTTAGTGAATACTTCTGACATTTACAGAGACCTGTGTTTAATATTGCTCCTTTTCAGAAAATCAAGCTATTTTTGAGCACATTCAAGATTTAAAATGTTTTTTTTCCCTGTAACTTTAAACTAAATTCATCTTCATATTAAACATTTATGGTAAAGAAAAATTTATCTTAAAGACAAGCAAAATAGTTCCTGAAAACCTAAGACACATTCCATTCAAAATAGAATTGAAATGTTGGCAATATTAATCAGAATAGCCAACCATAGTGATTTTTAATATTTTTAATTATTTTAGATATTCAGTTTTGTTGTATGCCTCCCATAGTCACTTGCTCGTGAGATGGACAGCACTATAAATTAGGTAAATATCTATAACTTCCTATTTATACTGTATATTTGAGATTTAAATGTGCTCTTGATTTATTTGATTGGGAAGTTGGGCACCTCTGCAAGAAAGGTGATCTCCTTAAATTCTTAAGGAGTCAACTGAGCATTGAACAAAAATGGATAAATATCATATTTTATATTGCCACCTTTCACACACATATATCAATGTACAATACTCCCAAAATGAAACTAACATGCAGTCCTTCCTGATGTTAAAACCAATATTTCACTTAATGTGTATTTTCAACATATAAAATCTGTCCCTGCGACAGATTTTAATTAAACACTCTTATGAACAGCTTTGCTTCTTAAAGTTTTTCAAATATTTCCCATTAAATAAATATTAACAGTTTTACATTAGTTTCAATTTTATTTCAGTTCAGATATTATGGATTTTGAAAAGTAAAAACTGGAAGTCCTGGCAATGGAATGATTCTTTTTGTACTTAATGCCATTCCTCTATGATTATTTTTTTTCATATTGAACTTATCAATTTAATTAGCTTCACTGCTTTCCATGTCCTAATCTTATACTGGCTTTCTTAACTTATTGTCAGTGACTTATACTGAATGGTCATTAACAATGTTGTTGGGAATTTTTTTTTGTTTTAAATTCTCACATCACTTGTGTCCTATTTTCTGCCACAATGTGATAGATCCAGCTTCATCTCTTCATCAGCTGTGATAGCCCTGAATGGTACCACTTTTACCTCATGGTTTACTGTTGCTCAAGAGCGCTTAGTTTTTACAGCTTTAAACATTAACAGCAGCATGATCTCAGAATTAAAGAGTAGCTTTTTTGAGTAAATGTCGACATCACACAAATGTATAAAAATATTAAAATCCCATGTTTTAACAATATTTAGATGCCATATAATGCAGATATCTAATAACAAGTTTCAGTACTTACTGATAAAGGAAAGGTTTAAGATGCTTCCATGGCAGCAGAAGTTGTAAAAACACAACTTACTTTGAGTGTAAATGTCGCTGTTCCTCATCAAAAATTGCATTGGCTATTTTATTAACCAGAAGTCAGTCTCTGGTGCTCCGTATGCAGCAGTGCTTCCTGTTCCTTGTCTTAGTACCATCTACCAGAATATAAAGAGCTACTTTGTTTAATGAATCTGCATTGGAGAAAATACTTTGCTTAACAAAAGCAAAAGAGATTATAGAGAAAAGACATGTAAAACCTTGGTTTTAAGCACATAACAATTTCCAGATCCTAAACTGAATAATTGGCTTGGGGATTAGAACAAATATTTTAAATTGGGGGGGGGGGGGGGGGGGGAGGGTTCCCAATTTTATTTTTAGAAACTCTTTTCACTACAGTATAGGAAAAAAATAACTATAGAATGAGCTTCACCATAAGTGAAAGGCAGAATTAAGGTCTTTTATATTGCCAAGCAGTCTCAGAACCCCAGGGTTACACAGCAAGATAGAAGTTCTTCTAAGTAATCATTGTGAGAAATATACATAAAGTAACATGCCAGTGGTGGGTTGCTACCTGTTCGCCCCAGATCGGGCGAACTGGTAACGACGGCGGTAGGAGGCTCTGTCCACCTGCTCGGACACTTCTCCAAATGCGCGCGAGCAGCCACAAGCAAACCGGTAGCGACGGGTTTTGAAACCCGCACCTGATACATATATACATACATACATACATACATACATACGTGGCTGAGTTTCACATACCTGCTGCTTGTAGCCTGTTATCTTTTCTAATTGTTTCTGTACAGTACCATAATTATTTGCCTTACTCTAAAGGTTAAGTGGGAAAAAGCGGTGCTTGCAGCTTATATGATAAATACAGAGCATAGCTGTAAAGGTTTTGACAAATCAACAAGAAAAAGCTCTAAAGCAAAGAAATGTCAAGGGAAACCTGCTGATTATGCAATATGATAAATAGGAGCTTCCCTTATTGTCTGGACTTTTCTGGAAAAGGGAAATCACTGATTTGTGATCCAGTGGAGACAGTAAATCAGGTGCTCTCCAGGTGTTTTGGCTTACAAGTGTCATCGCTAAATTGACCAGAATTGAGGAGGCTGCTATTTGTTTCAAACATCTGGTGGGCATGTGATTATTTCCCTGGTAACAAGTGACAGTAACATAGTGGTAATTGTGGTTTCATTAATCTTCAAGCAGTGGGGATTCAGGTTTGCCTTTGCATAAAGTCTCCATGTTGTTTTTGAAAACTACTATACATGATTTCTACAGTTCCTATTAGTCTGATTGCCTACAAATTCTGAACAAGCCAAATAGTTGTTGACATTGGCCTGTCTTGGGGTAGATCTTAGGGCAGGTTTAAGCCATAATATATTGACTGCTTGACAGAACTTTTCAAGCTCAGAGTAACTCTTAAGGATGAATTCCTGTCCTTCCCTAAGCAAAAAAATAAGGAGCAGCTCATCCTTGATATTGTCTTTGCATTGTTATAGCTCAGAGGTTTGATATGATTGGTAAGTTGGCAGTCCTAAGAGAATTGTCTGGAAACAGATCTAATTGAACCAGATGAGAATTAACTTGTACTTGGTTTTTTTAAAAAAATCTATAATTTCATAGAATTGAAATATTTTGTGTTGGTTTTTTTATTAAGGTCACCCATCAAAATTCTGCACATTAACAAATTAAACAGCTTCTATTTCAAACAAAATACAAAGGTAAAAGTGTAACCCCATCACTGAGGTGATCGAAATATAATCAGGTTTATAGCCAGTATAGATCTTATTTAGCTACTTCAACTGGCACTGGCAGCTTGGTCATTAATCAAAGTGGTCGCTAAGTGAAATTGCAACTGTATATTGTCAAGTCTGCGAAGATTTTTCATAGAATTGGTCATACCTTCTTTTTCATCACCATTGTAACTGAATGATTGCTAAATGAGGCAGTTCCTAATTGTAATAAAATTATATACAGACAGTATAACAAAGTTTTGCCACATTCAACATTGACATTCAGTGTCAAAGATCTCAAGGAATAGCCATGCATAATATCAGTTAGAATTGCCTGGGTATTTCACCTAATAAGGAGTTATAAAAAGGTCCTTGAATCCTTATAAAAGGTGCAGTAAAACAACACATGGACTCTAGATTCATTGAGTCTTTCATCATAAGGACACAATCTTAGCTGCTGCAAGGACATTAAAACATGCTAAAGTTAGTACATTTCAAAGTTTGAACATAATTATTTCAATATCTTGTCATCTAAAGAAAGATGCTTGACTATTCAAAAATACATTCCTGAGCAGGACAGATTGATCCAATTGATCATCCAGGTCTCTTGCTTGCAGATTGAGAGCAGTTATCCCTTAGTCATACCCCATGATCAAAATAACTTATTTCAAGAACCAGTAATTGCACGAATATTCTTTTCCATGTTGATTCAAAATTGTTTACCATAATTAAGAAAGCTTACAGCTTCTGGGAGAAACAATTAAGTTTACCCAGTGGACTATAATATAGTTCTGTACAGCCATCTTCACCTTAATCAGATCAGCTTTCCTCCCTGGTACCACATTAGGTATTTAACTTCAAATAAATATTCCTAGGACTTAAGTATTTTGAGTTATAGTATTGAGATGGCTTGCTCTTCTATCTCTGATCCCCCTTTACATTCACCATGTTCCTGAGGAGAAGTTGTGTATTTCAGAATTTCCCAGTTCCACAAGGATCCTGGTAAAAAGTTGAGAGGAAAAACTAAATAGCACATTTTTTCATTATCTCTTATTTCAGAGGTAGATATCTGAAAAATATGTGACTGTTATCTAAATGTTGATAACAACATTCAAGCCAACACCAAGTAACAATATGCAGAGGATTAAAACTGGCAAATTAAAATCTCTACTCAATGCTAAAATCCCATTTCACTCAATCACCCTGAGAAGAGCTCTCCATACTCTTGGGTTCTATATTCCTGTGGTAAATTGTAAATTCATCTTCTGTCAGCTGTAATAACCATAATATTTAACCCAAAAACAGATAAAGATGAAAAATGTTTCAGTTTCTGTTTAACTTCATTAAACTTTAATATATAATGAAACTAGGGACTAATATAAGTTTAAAGCTAAAGGTAAGAGTGTAGTGGCTTTGATAATTAACTTATTATATTTATTCTTTCTCTGTGTATTATTATGAAGGAAACAATTCCTGCCCCAGGAAGTTATTAATTTTAAACTATCAGTCCTAAGGGGGAGTGAGAAAGGAGAAGCTGAGAAGCAGAAACCAGTGATGGCTTCTATTAGTAAACTCAATGGGGAAACAATACACACACACACACACATTTTAATCCTATGCTGCACCTCCAAAATGTGGTTTAGAACCATGGAACCTTCCAGAACATTTTTGGGAAGTACGGATTCTCCAGGGAAAGACAAAAGTAAGTCCAACTGTTTAAATGGGCTTCTACTTGGAAAGGGTTGGCTCCATTTTACAGATTTGTATTTCTTTAAGGATGAGGATTACAACAATGTAGAGCAGAGGTCTCCAACCTTGGCAACTTTAAGCCTGGCAGACTTCAACTCCCAGAATTCCCCAGCCAGCTGACTGAGGAATTCTGGGAGTTGAAGTCCACCAGGCTTAAAGTTGCCAAGGTTGGAGACCCCTGATGTAGGGATCAGCTTCATGTAAAAAGTGGGCAGGATGGAGGTAAAATGAAGTAACAAAGCCAGTAGTGGGTCTTTAGGAACATAGGGCTTGGGAAACACTGAAGAATTTGAAGTGGTTAATACAATACAACTATCATATTCTTTCAGTTTTTTATATAAAAAGAACATGAACGTGTGTGTATAATTTTTTTAATCTAGAAAACAAAGTTCCTACATAACATAGACACACAGTTTTTGTCTTTTTTTTTTATGTGTGTGTGTGTTTTTGCAGATAGCTCAGTGCAACTTGGATAATTTTCTGTAGATAATTGCCTACAAGTTTGACTATTACGCTTCCCTCTTACGTTCAGCTGCTTATTTCAAAAGAATTTGTAAGCCCTTAAATTTGTATTTAAAACTTCTTCTAACTAGCAATTGAAGGAAATTCACCAGTGCTGAAAAGCAGTTAACAATTGATTTCCAAAAGTGATTGGTATGTGATCCTAGTGTCTGTTTGAAGGCACTGTGGTTTGAGCAAAAAGGTGGCTATTGCCGCCTCTCCCAGAGCTCTCAGTCCACTGGAGACCACTATCTTGCAATCTTCTTGCAAGGAACGGCTGTCTGGAGTATTTTTTAAGCAATGTCATGTCCTCTTCTTATTTGGAGAGGAATTACAGAGAGTTTGCTCTTCATTCTGCTGCGTCATCTGCCGTGATTGATTCCTTTTAACGGACCTATTTTCAGTTTTCCATTTCTTCTTTGAAAGTCCCTTCTTAAGATTTTTTTTTTTTTGATAACATTACAAAATTCAGACTTAATTATTTATTTTACATGCATATGCAGCGCCTAACAAAAATCAGGGTTTTATTTGCATTAATTTTTAAAACAGTTGACAGAAGGTACAATATTTTTTTCTCAATTAGGTGAACCTTGATTTTGTGTTTGCAGTAAACATTTATTCTCTGCTAAAACTATTTGCAAAATAAAATGCTAAAGCTACTATGATTATCAAAAATCAGTGTATTGAAATGGAGCTTGTTAATTTGCATAACTAAAAAATAAGATATAATGTCAGTAATTTCAAAGCAACCAATTACAAGTGAACAGTAATTTCCTATATTGGTTTCCATAGTAACATTGCAGCTTGCCTAGTGTTCTGAGAACCCAGACTCGGTCATGGAGTAAACAGTAAACTGTGTTGCATTTCCACAGGATGAAAAAAATGCAGGTCTTCTTTGAGGATGCCATACTTTATTTCAGCCTATTTTTATTTTCATGTAAACATGCAGTATGACTATCAGGGAGGAAAATCCACTAATTCATAATTCTACTCGGAATTTTCAATCATGCAGAAGAAAATTGAATGAGAAACAGGATTCCTTTTTCCCATAATACAGAGAGATTCTTCTAGTTCTAGAAGAGTTTACTGCATAATAGGGCTACAAGATCTGGGCAACAAAAATCTATAAACATTAGATGACAGCAAAGGGATACATCAAATTATATAATTTATAGGTTAATTGGACTTTTGCATCAGAGATCTAGAAATTGCAATTTAGAAGAATTGATGGCAAAAGTTAATTCATTTTATTAGTATTTTTATAATGTCTGTTTCAGTTATCTGTTCCTATTTTCCTGAAAGCATATTTTATTTTATGTTATGAAACAGCAGGAGGCCACATTGTGAACTTGGAAGCTGCAGATTTATTAGTCAATAGAATTGCAACTCCTCCTTTAAATGACATTTATGTATATAAGTTTATAATAAATATATCTCCTTACTGCTGTAAATGTAAGAATAATATTAATATATTTTTAAACTCAGGTAGATGTGACACTTGTCCATTTTACACCACTAGTGGAACCAAAAATAAAACAGCCATTTAAGCTGGTGGAAAAAGTTGTTCAAAGTATTTTCCAGTACAGAAGAAAATTCTGTCATCATGGTGCAAGGTAAGAAAATGAGTGACATATAAAGATTTGTTTTCAAGAACTGCAGTGGGGCGGAGGGGGTGGCTCACACATGTATATGTGGTTCCTTAGAGGAATTTTCTCATCCGTATTGCACTCTTTTATTTCTCTTCATATCTGTAATCCTTGAACACAGTTGTAATATATTTACCTGCTCAGGTGGATTTTTACAGTACAGGTAACTCTTGACTAACAAGAATTTGATGAATATTCAAAGTTACAATGACACTGAAAAAAAGTGATTTATGAATATGCTTCACACTTATGACCATTGTAGCATCCCCATGGACACATTATCAAAATTTAGACGCTTGGCAACTGGCCTGTATTTATGATGGTTACAGTGTCCTGGGCTCACCTTTTATGAGCTTCTGACAAGCAAAGTTTGTGGGGAAGCCAGATTCACTTAAATATCTGTTATTAGGTTAACAACTGCAGTGATTCATTGTGGCAAGTAAGGCATAAAAAGGAGCAAAATTCACTTAACAGCTATCTAGCTTAGCAACAGCAATTTTAGATTCAACTGTGGTCATAAGTCGAGGACTACCTATATATTAACTGAATGCAGATAGTGAAGAATTACCTGATATATTCTGGCACTTGAAAACAGATGCTGAAAAACATTGAGGCAATGCAAACATACATGACTAAATTAAATCTGTTACTGTCTACTTTGTTCATAGTCATAGAATGGAAGACGTTACCAAAAAATGTCAAGGTCTTACTTATATTGCCTTAGTTCCTTTTCAATGAGGGCCAAGTCTTCTCAGTAACATCATGCTGGTGCATAAAATCTGATGTGTGTGCCTTTTTCATATATATTGAGAAGTCGGGTACAATCCTCAGCAAACCATTGGAAACACAAAGTAAAAAAAAAACCTGCCTTACTAGAGACAAGAGAACAATGTTATGATATATATGTCACAAACCTCATTCAGTTATGTGTCCTTCTCTGAAATAGTTGCTTCTTAGTTCCTTATAGTCAGGAAGGAATCTGTTTTTTGTTAAATCAGAAATTTGATATTTATTATTTAGCCTATGGCATATCATACATGGACTTATAATATGTATTAACACTTTGCCTAGTTTTGAAAAACACACTAGAATATGAATATTAAAAAGCTCTGTATTCAGATTCCAATGTCTAGGCAATCTAACCTAGAAATTTGATTTTTAAAAAAATGATCAAATAAATTTGATAAAAGGCAGGGCAGAGCAAGATTGCTGGTGGCATCTGCCTCTGAAGACATCACTTATTTCTCTTAGTTGTGCAACAGGTTAATTGAATGTTTGAGCAAGAGGGTACCTGTTCTTTTCACCCATTTGCAGTAACCTAGTGAAAGGCATGCTGTGTGCTTCTGTCTTCAGAGTACCACTACATCGTTACTTTTGCTATTAGTCGTAACAAAAGCATTCCCAGAATCCAATTGTTTCAGCAGAATGACAAAGCATTGCAATGCAACTTCACCCTTTAGGTAGATGAGATCACAATACACATGCAAAGGGGACACAGCTTATGTTGCAGTGCACATGTTATCATTTTCCCCAGCATTACCTGTTCTGCAGATGCCCCCCGAGTCATAATGCGGCTGTGGAAGATAGTATTATTTGAACTGAGAAATCTGAAGTAAAATCAATGGATGCTCCTTATTGATTACCAATATTGTTTTCTTTCAGGATTTTATTTCCAGAAGATGACCGCCTTGAAAAAACCAAACAGTTGCTCATGGAGGCAGATGTTGACCCAACTCTATATCCAACTAAACTGTCCTTATTTCAGTTTAAAAACCTTTGTAATGCCTACAGGAAAATGTGTGATGAAGATCCAGATCTTTTTGCATATAACTATAGAGAGGAACTGAAAAAGAAAAAGGAAGCCAACTTCAAATGGACTGACAAAGATTACTTTTTTTCCCCCTAGAATTATGCAACCACAAAGTCTAATGGGTTTTTGGATTGGACTGAAATAAATTTGACATTTCAATATATTCTTCAATATTACATGAAATTTATGAATGAGAATAAGGATCATTTTTCTTAAAACTCAAGTGATACTCCTTTGTTTATTTTCTAAGTGCAATCAAGACCCAAGACGAAATGTAAAATAACTGAAAAGTAACCCCCCCCCAAGAAAACACCCAGAAAGCTTCCTATTTCAATTAACATTTTACTGTACAAGCTTATAGAGAAAATAAAAATACCATAAGATTACAGTACAAGCTTTTTATATGTACAAACATATATAAACATATATAAAAATCAAATATAAACAACCATATACATTTTAGTACAACGTACAGAGGACTTTGTTACTCTGTATTGAAATAATTTAACTTTAAATAAAGCAAAAACTAACATGCTCTTAAATGCTCAATGAAAACTAATTGGACTCAGGTCAAAAAATGAACATCTCACCTCCCCATGTTTTCAAAAACGTTTAAATGTTACCCAATACTGAAAGGGGAAAAGATTAGTTTACAGAATTTGCAAATTCAAGGTAAACTTTTTTGTTTTGGAATAAATTAAAATAACTTAAGCCTTTACAACTACTTTTATGGAAAAATCCAGTAGTGCATTAAACTGAAGAGTAAGTAGTT